TTATAAAAGTAAATAAAATCTAAAAATATGGATCTTTTTAAGTTATTTAAGATTAGATTAGGTATAATAAGTAATAATAATTATATAATTAAACTGGTTCACGATGCACGCACGGGAGCAGCTCGTGGGTAATGTAATTCAATAGCATAAAGTGAGCTTCTTCTTCTTATCTTTTTTTTTTTTGTTGTTGTTGTTGTTGTTGTCACAAGGACTACAATTGACCAATCCCATTTTGAGTTAGGGTAGAGAAAATAACTTATAAACTCTAAAGATTTTGTGAAAAAAAACGTTTAAAAAGTTTTAGTGATTAAAAAAAGGGAATTTCAGATTTTTGAGATGACAAAAAGTATTTTTAATTTTAACATGAAAATTACTTTGCACACGGACTATTCAAAACAAATACTCAATATATTCATGGACAAAATTTTATTTTAATTAAAAATACTTCACTAAGTAATATGACTTTTTGTATGTGAAAGACTTGTAATATTAACTGGAAGACTGCCAAATTTCATGAAGATATAACCAATATGTAGAGAGTTATAGGTATTAAATTTATATCAACTTTAAACGAGTACAAAAGGTCACGTGACTTGGTCAAATTGACCGACCCCGTGTTGGGAGAGTTAAACCATGAATATAATTATTATCAACATTTATTCTATGAAGAAAATTACAGAAATTTGAAATTCTTTTGCAACACACACTTGCTGGTCGATATCTTCCCCAATTGACAAGTTGAATTGACTGTTGCTGAAATTTTACAGTTTGTTCTTCCATTTTATTTTGTTTGCCATGTTGTTAATATGTGCTCGTCAGTAGTCAATTCTCCCCTGCTAGGTTTTGTATTTATTAGTTTAGGATGAAAGTTCCTGAGGATGAGATAAACCATGTTGTCAAAACTTCAATGCATTGGCCAATCAGCACTGAGCTGTCAATTGGTAATCCGATTATGCCCTCCCACATTGTTGCTGACTACATGAATTTCCAAGACAAAATATTCTAACCATAATACAGCGATAAAAGAAAAAATTTTTTTAAAAGTTGCCAAATTTTTTGTTCGATGGGCTGGTATTTCACCAGAAATTGTTGTAAATAAAACTTTCCTAGGTCATATGGTCAAAAAAGTCTGTCAGCCCTAATTTCAGGTGGTCTGTTAGGTTACAACAAACAGAAATATTTTAAGGTCTTGCCTTGCCGACTGTACCTGCTCACGTGTACTATTGAAGATGATGAAGTTGCTGCAAATTTTGACAAAGTTTATTTTCAATGTTTGTGTATGATCTTACGAAATGTAAGTGTCACACTTTGACAACACTTTCAGCTGACCTGAAAGTTTTTTAGATGTTTTAGTCATTGATATGGTTGTATTGTCTCAAGTGTAGTATATCATACTATTGTACTATTGAAGATGATGAAGTTGCTGCAAATTTTGACAAAGTTTATTTTCAATGTTTGTGTATGATCTTACGAAATGTAAGTGTCACACTTTGACAACACTTTCAACTGACCTGAAAGTTTTTTAGATGTTTCAGTCATTGATATGGTTGTATTGTCTCAAGTGTAGTATATCATACTTGACCAACTATTTATACTTATAATCTGTATAATCTTTCCTTTCTTAATTTAATGTAATTTGTAATGTTAAATAAATTAAACAATATAATTGATTTTCAATGAGAATCAGTTCCATTGATTAGCATCACAAAATAATCAAAATATTGCCTTTAAAATTTCTCATTATTATTTTCAATTAGTTCAAGTTTGTTCAGCTTAATTCTCTGCACATGGTTATATCAAAGTATGCATGTCATGATCTTTTACAAAGTTACATTCATCTTTTAATTGAAATTTATTATCAATGTATGTTTATGAGCTTGACATTAAAATGTAATTTATAAATCACATTTTCCTATTATCTAAGTTTTTGTCAAAAGAAAATATTTAAATAAATTCTCAAC